CGGATGACCATAGAACAGCCACCAAGCTTTTAAAAGACGAAAATGTCGAATATCTTACTTACCTCCTCAAAGAAGAAAAAAAGCTAAACATAATCATAAAGGGATTCAACAATAAGAAATTCTCCCTGAAGGACGTTGGAATCGAATTAACAAATCTTGGCTACACTCCAACAGGAAATACAAAATCAAATGGTATAAATCCAGTCCGAACAGAAACAACGAAACAGATCTAATCAAATTCCTTCTACCACAAGAACAAGCGGAATATCTTCGAAATACCGCACTTTTGCTACATGAGAGTCCAAATATCTCATCAAAGAGCCCCAACAACCAAACACATTCCGCAATGCCACAACTGCCAGCAGTTTAGGTACTGCTCCAGTAATTGTTTCGCCGAACCGAGATGCCACAAATGTGCAGGAAATCATCATTACAATGAATGCAAAAAACCACGGGACACCCCAGCCAAGTGGCTAAACTGCGAAGGAGACCATCCAGCAAGCTATAGAAATTGCCCAAGAAACCCAAACTTTGCAAGAAATCAAACCAGCCAACCATCTCCAATTCCAACTGTACCAAAACCATCCCCAAAACCAGTCAATACCCAAATATCCTATGGTAGGATAGCCCAACACACCTCCACGCTCCCACAAAGCCCCCAAATGCAAATTCCCATATTCAATATCCTTTCCCACAATAACCAGGACCTCGAGCAAAAAATTGACAACATAATCACTCGAATAAACACAAAAATCGAAAAAAATCCTCTAGTAAAAGCCTTTCTAAGACAACTTAATACTTAATGGATTACACAACCTAAAAAGTATTCAATCTCCTCATAATCAGCTGGAACGCGAACTCTCTCTTTCCCAAAAGACAGGAATTCCCATCGAAAACGGGATAGACATAGCCCTAATACAAGAGACCTGTTTAAGACCACAAACAAGATACAAAGTGCCTAACTACAAGATTTACAGGCAAGGCAGAGACAACAGAATCGGGGAAGGAACAGCAATCCTCATAAAAAAAACATACCTCATGAAGAAATCACCCCTCCAACCACCGACCCCAGGATCAAAGTAACAGCAATCAGTGTCATTCACCAGGACGAAGACATAGAAATAATTTTAACCTATAAACCACCAGGAATCACATTTAAAAAAAAAGGACCTCGACATCCTATTTAGCTCTCCATACCCTACATTAATAGCAGGGGACCTTAATGCAAAGAATGTTCAATGGGGTTACAAATCCACCAACGCAGCAGGAAAAACACTGAGGGAATATTGCATAGAAAAAGGACTGGAAATCCTACTCCCAGTCGAACCTACCCCCTTCCACCACATCACCCCAGACATCCTAGATATCGCAATAACAAAAAACTGTCCCCAATCCATAACCATTAAAAACCTTCACGACCTGGCCTCCTCCGACCACACCCCATAGCCATCCAAGTAGCTGCTCAATCCTGAACCAAATACATACCATAAACATAACAAACTGGCAAAATTTCAAGAAAAAGCTGCTGGATAATAAGACAACTTTTGAACCAACAATCGACCCAAACAGCATCAAAGAAGCTCTTGTTTACCTAACAAAAACTATTCAATTAGTCCTGCAGAAAACCACTTCAACCATCAGCATCAAAACAAAAAATCCTTCTCTCCTCTCAGTCCATATAAAAGACAAAATTAAAACCACAAACAAACCTAAAAGAAGGGCGAAGCTAACAAAAGCTCCGCAAATTAATAAACAAGCAAATCTGATAACCAAAGATATCAGCAAGCTTATAAACACCTACAAAAACGAAAAGTGGGAAAGCTTTCTCTCCAGTCCCAACGAAGAAGACCACCTAATAAATTCATTGCAAACCAAAAAATCCTTACTAAACAAAACCAACATTCGCGAAATGCCGCCAATCCACAGTGCAAATTATGGCATTTTGTACCACGACACAGCCAAGGCAGAAGCATTTACTGACTCCCTGGAACGAAATCAGAATCCACAATACAATTCATCACACGAACCCCACAGAAGGGAAGAAATAAAAACGTCAAAAAAAGACTTACAGCAAATAATATACGACCTAAAAAACAAAAAGGCTCCTGGAATTGATGCAATCAATAACAAAACTCTCAACAACTGCTTTCAAATATCCTACTTCCCCTCCCTATGGAAAACCGCCATAGTGATCCTCTTTCCAAAACCCGGCAAAAACTTAAGTTTTCTTCAAAATTGGCGCCGAATTAGTCTACTTCCATCCCTTACTAGAAATTGTTTTCCTAGAAAAATTAAAAATAATCACCGAAGAAAATAATCTATTACCGGACGAGCAGTTTTGATTCAGAAGCTACCTTTCAACAGAACTATAACTAGCAAGAATAACCCAAGAAAAAAACAGATGGCTTCAATGAAAAAAAAACTACAGGTCTAATTTTATTAGACGTCGGAAAAGCCTTCGATACCCAATTCATTAAACAGTTTCTCAAAGGAAGGAAGTTCCAGATAAAAATGAACAAAACCTTATCCACCACCAGGTTAATAGAAGCAGGAGTCCCCAAGGCTCTCCCCCATCCTATTTAATCTATACCAAGCCGATATCCCAAAATCTCCACGAACCAAAATTTCACTATTTGCTGACGACACTTGCATTTTCGCATCCTTCAAAAACCCAGACACTATATCCAATGCAATACAAAACCACCTAGACCCAATTCAGGAATGGGCTAATTCATGTAAAATAAAAATCAACGCAGAAAAAACGCAAGCCATCACAATTTCAAAAAAATGGTCAAGACCGTACGTAGAAAACCTCACCATTGACGACACCGAAATCCCATGGCAAGATACGGTCAAGTATCTAGGCATTCACCTAGACAAAAGGCTAAATTGCAATCACAATACACACAAAAAACTGAGAATCTGCAACGCCACCTATCATCAACTCCGTCCTTTACTCCACTCCAAAAGCAATCTACATTTAAAAAACAAATTACTGCTATACAACCAAGTCATCAGGCCCAAAATGCTCTACGGTTCAACAGCCTTCTTCAACCAAAGTAACGCCAATATGAAGAAACTCCAAACATTCCAAAACAAAACCCTCAGAAGGATTACCAACGCCCCGTGGTTCATCAGGAACACGGACATCCACGAAGACCTCAAAGCCGAGTCAATAAAGAAATTTTTGATCCGTAAACCACACGAAATTCAAAGAAGCTCTAGACCAAACATCGAACTAAACATTAAAGAACGTGACGTGACGAAAAAACGACAAATTTAAAAATCTATTTGAAGACATCTCTTAAAAATAAATAAAAACGAGAGCGAGTAAGCTCCCCAAATGGAGAACTCTATAAAAAAAACTCATTACACACACACACATTTGAACAAGGAGGCCCCACACTAAGTGCCCAAACCCACATCCTAATAAGTAAAATATGGATTACTGAGACCATACCTGCCGGACTTAGAGATGCCTCCATAGCCATTTTTAAAAAAGGAGACAGGGCTCAATGGGGAATCTACAGAGGAATATCTTTACCATTGCGGAAAAGATACTTGCCAGGATAGTATAAAATCGTCTAATCCCAACTGCCGAACAGAACCTCCCAGAGACACAGTGTGGATTAAGACCCAACCGAGGTACAGCTAACATGATTTTCAGTGCAAGACAAATGCAAGATAAATCCAGAGAACAAAATCGCCCTCCATACATGGCCTTCATAGATTCAGTGAAAGCATTTGATTCGGTCAACAGAGACGCTCTTTTGGAAGATATTGGCAAAGGTCTGCAAAAGTACGCAAAACGTCCTAAGCAGCGATAGACAAGGAGAGTCTTTTCAAATAACTACAGGATTTAAAAAGGGCTGTGTTATTGCACCCACTTTATTTTCTCTATTCATAGGATCCATACTTCACCTTGTCAAGGGTCACCTGCCTTTAAGAGTGGAAATCCTGTACAGGCTTGATGGCGGCTTATTCAACCTAAACAGATTACGAGCCAAGACGAAAGTATGAGCAACATCGAAAATTAAACTTCAATATGCGGATGATAACTTCAACAAGATGCAAATTCTGCTCCAACCCGCACCGGATTCTAATCCTCAAGCCCCAAATATAACTATAAATGACCATTCTTTGCAGAACGTAGAACAGCTACTCATACCTTGGGTACCATCTGCCAGCGCATGCAACCATTGACGCTGAAATCTAACATCGCTTGATTTGTGCTAGCGCGGCGCTCGAGCGACTTCTAGAGAGAATCTGAGACCAAACTTCGCGTCTACAATGCAGTTGTAATACCAACACTTACACATGGTTGCGAACCATGGACCACCTACAACAGACACATGGAAAGCCTAGAAAAAAAACCATCAGCGCTGCCTTAGAAGGATTCTACGGATTAAATGGCAGGACCGACGAACCAACATTATTGTTTTAGAGGAGTCCAAAACAACTAGCATGGAAGCCCGCATCATTAAGCATCAACTTCGCTGGATAGGTCATCTCATCCGCATGCCTGGAACACGTCTTCCACGACAGATTTTCTACAATCAACTGAAAGGAGGAAATCGAAATCAGGAAGGTCAACAAAAACGCTGGAAGGATGTTCTTAGGAAGAATATGGTAGAGTGCCGCATCGATACCAGCAACTGGGAGACGACGGCAAATGATATGCTCTCATGGCGTCGAGTAGCCCATGATGAACCACAAATTTTTGAGAATTAACGACGCAGATACGAGAGCGGAAAGAGCGATCAGAGGAAGGAGCGAGAGAACAGAGGCAGATACAATGCTGCCAGAGGCTGGGTGTGCCAAGCCTGTGTTAGAGTGCGCGGGTCCAGAATTGGTTTATATAGCCATCAGAAAACGCCCAAACGACGACAATAAGAATAGATTGGCATGGGTAGCTGGAAGTTAGGGGGTGTAACAAAATACAGCGGACACCGCGGTTACAAACTCCCAAAGTCCTCACTGGATTTTTGAATTCCAGAGGGCCATGTTAAAAGAAATGGCTGGGGTGAGTATCTACTTTTGACATTATTATAATAGATTAACCAATATCCTGATGAAATAAAAACAAATAATTATCCATATTATAAACATCCTATTTAGTTCAAACGGATTTAAAAAAAAAAATCTACCATTATATTCATAAAAAATATATCCTTTTGCTTCAGGGAAGAACATCCTTGTGCGGCCTCCCCCCCTACGTGTGAGGACGCCGCCACTGCGAATTTCCTTTCACTTAGAGGATAGCCCATCTTCGCAAGATGCATCTTCTTTAAACTTTAGTCTTCGTTCTTCAGCAGTCAATGACTAGCCACAATGCAAGGTGTTAGTGTGTTATTGTTTTTAGGTGAGTACCTACCAGTGGCGGTGAATATGATTTTTCTGGATAATACCTTATGATAGTGCTAATATGGACTTTTTTATATTATGAAGATATGTGCGGATAAGTAGAAAATTTGTTAGATTATGTTCTAATATTTTTATTTATAAGAAAAAAAAAAAAATTTTGAAACTGGCAACTGAAAATTTCAAATGCACAAATTCGTCTGTTAATAAGAATACATTTTAATTTCTGTTTGTTGAAACAAGAGCCCAATTCACCACATGGACACATAAGTTGTATAACAACGTAGTAAAATTATCTCTGGTACTACATAAGATCAATTATAATTTTCAATTATTCTAATTGACCTTTTGAATCTCTTCCTCATTTCAATATCTTAAAAGTGAACTTATGTGAAGGGGTGAAAGCGCTGACACTATTGGTATTTCTATACCTATAAGAAAAGAGTTCCCACATATTTTCGAATTTTTATTTATGAAAATGAATGAGATAGTTGAAATTTGTGATAGTTATTTTTCAGAACCTTTCAAGTTGTGTTTATACATACTTATTCCTGTAGTCAGATTTTATGCTATCATCAAAAATCAATGTTTTTTTTTCAATGGCAAATCAAGACAACTATCAAAAAGCACTGATTCCTATATAAAAATATGAATTTTTCTTTTTGAAATATACAGCGCTCTTGTTCCAGCCCTTGTCAAGTTTTTCTTGAACGGTTCCAAGTTTTCTTGGCTTTTGAGCTAAAGGTTCAGGATATCGAATTATTCCTATCTCTCCTGCACTCACTCAGCGGAAGTACCTGTTTTATCCACAGAAAGTGTTTGAGTGTCAATTTAGCTCCAAGAAATATGGTCTTTATGTATTGTTGGGATAAACTAATGTATCATGCAAAATACTTCATATTTACAGTGTGTGCCGCTTTTCATGAATACATACCGATATCTCAGTTATTAATAATGCGATTTTATTCAAATCTTGGTGGTGATTGTATGTTGGAAAAATGAACTATTTGATATAGTGAACATTGTTATTTACCATTGGCGTGTAGTGTTGGGGGGTAGAAAGGGGTTGTATTTTTAGGAAAAAGATATTAGGGGTTATTTTAGATAATTTTTTGTAACAAATTGAAATTTAGTATCACCGAAAACCCCTTAATTCATATTTTCAAAATGTCAAGACCTGATTTTACAAAAAAAAAAATTTTTTTACTACTAACCTGAGAAGTAGTCATCATTCAATCTATTTTTCTGGGAAAAAATTGAATTTCTCTCCCTAGGTTAATAATGAAAATAATGAAAAAATACCTAGATCAATAATGAAAATGACGTCACCACGCAAGGATATTGTCATAACGTAACAGGTTTCTATTGGTGAGCTAACAAAATGGCGTTCAGTTGTTGCTGAATAGAGTTCATTTGTCGAAGTAGAGCTTCCAAAGTTGGCGTTTGTTTTGGTTGTTGTTGGTGCTGGTTTTTCTGGTTGGAGTTTGCGGTCGGTTGCATCTTTGGCTGCTGGCCCCCAGACAAAGTTGGACTGGGGGGCAGGCTTGTAGGTGGGTTTTTTCAAATGTTTGGGGTTTTTAGGGCAGCCTTGGTATGAGGCCGGATGCGGTCCTCCGCAATTTGAGCAGGTGGCGGCTTCTTCCCTAGGTTTAGTGCACGCTGACGTGTGATGGTCGGCGGCGCACTTCACGCATTTTGGAATGGCATTTTATTTGAAAAACAAAGCGTGCTGAAAAGATGCTACGCTATAAGTGAATTAACTTTGTTTTTCTAAATAAATTGCTTACGAGGACTAGAATGCACTAGGCGGACGGGTTATTTTGGGTCAGTTTGAGTAAGTCTGCATTGCATTGCGAGATCAATTTGAACCAATATTAATCAAGAAAATGCAGACTCAAATGGACTCAAAATAACCCGTCCGCCTAGTGCGATCTAGTCCTCGTAAGTTGGCATTACATTTGAAAAACAAAGCGTGATCAAGGGACGCTACGCTATAACTAAATAGGATAAGATAAGACATAACATAATATAATAAATAGGATTTTTGTGGCGTATATAAGAAATAATTTCTGACCAATCAGCTGGAATTGGTCTTTACGTAAACTCTACCGAAAACATTTAATTCAATCAAAATACTATATTATATACCTGGGTAGGGAAGTTGGTCATTATATACCGAGCGCTTTTATATGCGTAAGGTATATAATGACTTTCTCTACCGAGGAATATATAGAATTTTTTTTACTACTACTACCTACTATCAACAACTTATGGTAACTTCCGATGTACCTACAGAAACCTGTTTTTTTTTTTCAATTGACGTATGAAATTGAATTTGAAATTGAACCAATAGAAACATGACAATATCCTTGCGTCATGACGTCATTTTCATTATTGACCTAGGTATTTTTTCATTATTTTCATTATTCACCTAGGGAGAGAACTTTCAGCTAGAAAAATAGATTGAATAATGACTATTTCTCAGGTTAGTAGTCAAAAAAAATGTATTAATTATCAATTCAGAAACAAAGGAACACGGAAATAAATACCGAATTCCAAAAAATTATCATAAGCCGAAACCAAAATGAAAATAATTTTGTTTTGTTTTGAATGTTTTGTTTACTACCCTGCCAATAGTGATGCCGCGAGACTCGAGACTGGTCTCGTCTCGTCTCGACTTTTCGTAAATTAAATATCATGAGGGTTACTCTTTACTGTGATTTTTCACTAATTGCTTTTTCACTGTGGCAGTTTGGACTTCCGTTATAACATAAAAACAAAAACCATAAATACAGGGTGTCCGAAAAATAGCGTAAAAACTCTCCACGTAGTAGAGGACCCTTTGAGAAACCCTAGAAAAATAATTGAATTAAAAAAATCCTTCTCCAGCATTATTCTTGGTAATATGAAGAGGTAGATATGAAAATTCACCTTCGAATTCTTCAGGAAGTTACATGGGTATTTAATTTCATTCTCTGACATATTGTCAACGGGATATTTTCAGTGTTGCCAATTTTAATAAATATTAAAATGCAAATAACTTTCTTAAGAATGTCACTAGATTTTTTAAAGTATTTTTCTGGGGTTTCTTGTAGGGTCCTCCACCACGTAGAGAAGAGTTTTTACGCTATTTTTTGGACACCCTATATAACACGAGACCACTCGAGACGAGACGAGACTTTGGTACTCGAGACCGAGACTAAATCACGGTCTCGTCTCGAGATGTCGAGACGAGACGAGACCAACCCTAAGTCTCGTCTAGTCTCGTCTCGCGGCACCACTACCTGCCAATGTCGCCATCAATAGAGAAGCATGCGCAGATCCGTTTTTGCAAAAATAAGACATAAAAGTTAAAAGTTAACCCACCTTCTTATTTCTGATGTTATGTTATTTTCTGTATAAACGTCATAAGGGGTTTCCATAAGGTCAACTTTTTATCTTATGTTATGTTATGTGGATGTATAAACCCACCTTAAGTCTGCATTTTCTTGATTATTATTGATTCAAATTGTTGTGTCGCTCTTTTGATATGTCGCTGTTTTGAATGTCGCTAAAATGAGACCGCCGTTTTGAATATAGCGGTTTTGAATATCGCCCTTTTGAATCGGAGCCGAACCAGCAATAAAGAACGCTTTAAATACCGAGAATGAAAAGTTGAAATGGAGTGCCACCCTTCATGTTTGATATTCTTGTCAAGGTAGCGCCCCAAGTGTGCTTCTACAATATTTGCCTGAAAATATTCTAGAAGCAGAGAATATTATTTTAGTTGGATAGTATTCATCAAGTAGATAGGGAAAATAGAGAAAATGGTTATTATATCTTAAGAACTACCCACTTTAGGTTTAACATATCAATGAAAAGCTTAAGTTGTCTAGAATGGTCCAACGCATTTGGTTGGTTGGTTGTAGGGGGGATTTGGGCGCCTTCCATGCACTGTAGCCTGTTGGCTTATTGTGCACCCAACTTCCTTCTAGTCCTGTTCCCTGTATCAGGCCCTTGGACAAGATTTTCAGGCAATAGTCTATCCCTGGTGTGTATTGCTCCGAAGAGTCTGTATCTTTTGTGTGATAGGGCCACATAGTCATAATATGACGTGGGAAGTTGTTTCGTCTTCCTCTCCACATCCAGGAAACGCATTTGAAAATAATTTAAAAAGTAGTCGTTTCTATGGAAGGGTGGGTTTGCTGACTGCTGAGGACAATGCAGAGAGTGAGAACTATTAAGATGAAGTGTAGAATTATTGATAAAAATGTTTGTTTTTTGAGTTGTGTTCCCGTTCTATAAATTAGCAAACGTAGTTGTTTAATTAAGGCTTTGATGTCAAAGTGTTATACATATTTTGCATACCATCTAATCCCATAAGTAAATTGTTCAAAACCCATTGATGCAGAAATATATAAATGTTCTCAAATTCTGATGCATATATGTCAACACTAGTGATCTCTTCAGTCATTTATGGCAAAAAAAATTGCATGACATTCCAAATAAGGGTAATTTAATTTAAGCCGCCGATTGTAGCGCCTAGTCTATAATAGCCAAACTAATCGTGCAAGAATCTGCAGATGGATCGTGTGATGTAATTACAATGTGAAACAGAAGAAACAGTGACACGAATACCTGCAACGTTTGTTTAGCTTTAAAAATTGCATAATCGAGAAATCATCCTTCCTTTGCGAGATCGTTTTTGCGGAATGCGATAACATCTGCGATCGGATTGTAAATTATAATAATAATAATAAGCACATTTATTGCAAATTAATGTAAATAAATATGCAGTTAAATGCAATCATAATTGTTGAAAAGATGTGCAATTTGCTTTGGGGTTTGAAAATGTCTAAACATTAATTTGTGAAAATAGGATGTGCCATAGATATGAATTTAGCACATTTCTATTCTTACAGCATGTTTTCTATTACAAATTTTGATTGAAAAATACAAACAACACGTAACACATATAGGAATTTTAACACCTAAGAAATTTTAAGTAGCTTATATGTAAATTTTATAAGAAGCTGTAAAAGATGGTTCTCTTACATAATCCAATGTACAGTGGCTAAATAAACCTTTACATACAGTGGCGACAATAGAGTTCCCGCCGCCATCTTGTTCCCAACCTCTTGTTACTTTCAAATATTAATATATAAGATTTAAATAGACATCTATCATAAAAAATTAAAATCGGCATATTTGATGACCATTATCAGGTTCATCAAATACGTTGTTTTCCATGTTTTATGATGGATGTTCACCTAAATCCTATATATTCATATTTAAAAGTAACAAGAGGTTGGGAACAAGATGGCGGCATTTTCAATATAAACATATGGGATTTTTGAACCAATCAAAAATGAGACCGCAATTGTCGCCACTGTGGTAATAAAGTCACTGTAATCCAATGACTTAAAATAACTAGCTTCATTGTAAAACTATTGTCTTGAAACCAAATACCGGAAAATTTGACAAAATTGGATGTTTCGCCAGATGGGATGCGGTTGGTTGCGAGAGTTAGCCGTGATCCTGTTATTAATTTTTTTTTTTTTTGGAGTGATAATATCAACTTTGTAATTGATGCAGATTAAATTCTCTACGGGTGAAGAGATTTGACATTGAACTTATTTCAAGCTAATCGAACTTTTATATGTTCATGGAACGATTTTGAAATGGAACTGTAATAACTCAATTAAATTTTTAATTTACACATTTAATTCATTTGACCATGGCCGTTTACCCAAAACAAAAAGATTGGAAGAATAATAAGGCCGCTTAATTCTCAAGAGTTGCCATAATAAAAATAATTGTCGAAAATTGTCATTGTGCAACTACTTATTACATTACTATTAGGAACTAGGCAATTAGGTATTGTATAATTGGAGCTACAACAGACTTGAATGATGGAAGCACAATTTGAATGCATAAATAGGAAACAGCAGGGAAATATTGTTTCTTCAGAAGCGACTTTTTATTGCCCATTCAAATTAATGAAGTTTTAATTTTGTTCATTCCCAGGTCTCCTGGCAAAATGGTCTTGCAGCGCGGTGTTCCTCAATCATCGGCCATTTCCCACCTACAGCTTGGAAAATATGCCCAACACTCAGTTCAGTTGCAGAGAGAAAATTTTAGGAGGTTACTACGCTGATCCGGACACACAATGCCAGATGTTCCACGTTTGTGTTAAAGTTGCTGGAATTGGGGTAAGTTGTAATTAGTTCCTGGAGTGGTGCTTTAAAAAAATTTACACAGCAGTTTGTTTTTCTTTCACCAGTATCCAGAAGTCTTTGGAGGTACTCTGCATCCCTCTGACCTATGCTGCTGTATAATAATTGAGGATCATCTGTAAACTTACTCACTTCTTTATGTTGTAGTTTTTCAAATGTATAGATAACAAACAAATTACAGCAGAGGTGTTATGAGTGCGGCCTTTCAATTCAAACTGGGATCGATATGGCAAATTCAATTGCTTATAGCTTTTCCAGAATAGTATCAAAATTTACTCTGTCTTGGTAAAATTAGTTTCTATTGAATCGGCATGCACTCATTATTTAGTTTGAATATTTCATGGTTTCTAAAAAAAGTCTAGCTAGGAAAAACTAACACGACTTCAGTAGAAACCTCCAGGTATTGTTCTAGCTCCTAGGATATTGATTATTCTCTGTGCCAGGTTGCCATTTTTGTTTTGTTGTACATTGGCAACACAATTATTTTAATTTTATTTGTGAAAACAGTTTTATCAAGCTATTTTGTTTTGTTCTTGACAATCAGATACTTGTCACTAGTGCAGTTAATTAAGCATAAAATAGGGGCCCACCTACCAATTTTGAGGGAAGAAGCTGAAAATTGGTTTACACCTTCATTTTGTCGTTCTAATAGTGTCCCCAAAGTTACAGTTACGATAAATGTAGCCAAGGCTTCTTAAGTTATTGCAGGGCAAAAGTCACAGAAATCGGTTTTTTGTGATTATCTCGGTTCCTATAGCTCCAACGATATTAATACCTATTCCAAAAGTTAGAGATAATAAAATTCTTAAGCACTTTTGTTTGAAACTTTTTTTCATAAAATGAACCGTTCTTGAGATAGAGCGGTAAGCCTTATGCTCCAGATTTTTACCTATAAATTAAAGAGACCTAACGGGTGAATTTTTGCTTACACGTTGTTGTTATGGGTCCAAATAATTGGTGAAAGTTTCCTATCGTATCGGTGATTATTTGGGCCATTACGGAGGATCATAGGTTAGGAATGCGTTTATCAATATCTCGAAAACGATTAACTTCTTTAGAAATTTCTTCTCAAAAGAGTAATAGATCATTAAATTTGCTGCAAATTTGGTCTTAGGTACATTGCTCTACAATTAGCCGTTCTTGAGATACAGCGCAAAATTTAAACAAAGATGAGGGATGACAAGCTGTAAACTCGTACACACCTTCATTTGGCCTTTCTTAATATTGGCCCAAGAGTCTAATAAAATCAAGTGTGCGTGTCGTAAGTTAGATCAGGTCAAGGTCACAAAAATCGGCTTTTCGGGATTATCTCGATTTCTATAGCTTAGCAATGCAAGGTCAACAGTAATTCTCGGTAAATACAGTTTGAAGGTGTGTACCAGTCTACAGCTTGTTTCCCCCCATTTCGAGAATGGCCCCTTTTCTTTGTTTAAATTTTGCGCTGTATCTCAAGGGCTAATTGTAGAGCAATATACACCAAATTTGGAGCAAATTTATTGATCCATAACTCTTTTAAGAAGAAATTTTTAAAAAAGTTGACCGTTTTCGAGATATTATTAAACGCATTCTTGACCTTTGACCCCCTGTAACGGCCCTAATATTCACTGAATCGATAGGAAACTTTCACCAAATATTTAGACCCATAACAACAACGTGTATGCGAAAATTCACCGTTAGGTCCCTTTAATTTTTTGGTCAAAATCTGGAGCACAGAGCTTACCACGCTTCGCGCTCTATCTCAAGAATGGTTCATTTTATAAAAAAAGTTCCAAGCAAACGTGCTTAGGAAGTTTATTATCTCTAACTTTTGTAATAGGTGTTTATATCGTTGGAGCAATAGAAATCGAGATAATCGCAAAAAAACGATTTCTGTGACTTTTGACCTGCAATAACTAAAGAAGCCTTGGCCACATTTATTGTGACTTTTGGGACAACTATTAGAACGTAAAAATGAAGGGTATACCAATTTTCAGCTTCGTAACTCAAAATTGGTAGATGAAACCACAACGTGACTGGACTACACGGTGTTTTTTGAATTTGAAAACAATTCACCGATATATTTGAGACAAAGTACCTATACGATATCTTCAAACGTTGCCTAGAAAAAAAATACCGGGAAATTTCATTAGCACGCTTTAATTAACCTTAGAAAAAAGTGAAGAAATCGGAATGGTAACTAAATCACAAACACTGGTTGTGTTTTTCAAAAATTAAACATCACTCCGAAATCATCGCTTTAGATAGGTAAAACCTAATTTGCATCTGATCCTTACATTAAAAAAATATAAATTAGCTGATATGGAATGTTTCATATTTGATACTTAGGCTATGTTCCGATATCAACTGTCAGTACTGAATTTACTGGACGCCGTTCCGATATTACACTGGATTCAGTCGATTCAGTACTGAATGACCACAAGGGTTCGCTGTTGAAATCGGAACGGCAAATGACAGTAAAATCAGCACAGTAAATCCAGTACTGGCAGTTGATATCAGAACATAGCCTAAATCGTATGCTCTTCTAACATCATTCGACTGACATCTTTGGATTTTTTTTTGACCACTTTTTGACCAGCATGGTCTGAAATGCTATTGATATATTTGAAAAATCCAAATCATAGCCAAAGCCTTAATCCGTTTCTTTAGAATTTTGAATATAATAACTAACAAACCCACAAAATAAAAGAAACTTAATTTTTCCTTATTTGCCGAACTAATCTTTCTTGAGTGCTTTATGGGTTACATTATTTATTTATTTTGCTTGAACACGAATGCATAAATTCGTTTCTTTGTTAATAAAGTAACTTAACACGGTTTCAGGTTCAAGACTTCCGTTTCCTCTGTCCGAACGGTACTGCCTTTGACCAAGATCATCAGATTTGCGCCGATTGGGAGGACGTAGATTGTGATGCAACTACCTTGTACTATTCCAGCGACAACTTCGACCTTTATCGAGTTGGATCAGGTAAAAAACAAACATTTTTTTGTTTGATTTCTCATAAACATATTTTCATAAACTTGTAAAAGTCCCATCTACCCAAATATGGAAATCCTTAATGATTATAATCAGGCTAAGAAGATCATTATTGCATAGATTTCTGTAGCAAGAAGTCTTCATTCTTTTAAATGTTTTAAGCGATGAAAGTTCATGCGACATGTAACTAGAGGCACGTTTACATGGGAATAGTAGAGAGCGATAAATATTAAAAGAAATGTCAGACGGTAACGAACCCATATTTTTTGGGTTTGTCATGGTTAATGGTTACGAAATCGGATCTTCTTCTCATTGTAACAATGGTGACAAGTAAGATAATAATTATTTTGAAAATGTATCAAAACATTTTTTTGCTAAAAATCTTAACGATCTGGAACTAGAGACACTTTTTAGACGGTTTTCTGTTGTTTTTAGAAAACTTTGGGGGATTGCTGATAAGTCAAATATTCATTTATTATGTTGATTAACATTTTTGACTTTTCAGAACGAGGTTAGACATTTAATAATTTTTTCAAATTGTTAAAGGCTGGGTTAAGTAACTCAGTCATTGAGTTAAGGCGGATAGAAAAAAACTACCCTACCTTTCTTCAAGAAAGGGCGTATTCTTCAAGTAAACTATTTATTAATTGATGAAGAGCTACTCCAGAAATTCGATTATGGAGTATTATTCATACAAAAGTGCTTAGCTGCTACTGGTACTGAGAACTTAGGGTACCTACTTGGAAACATAAATGAGGCACAACCACTCAAATAAAACTTCTGCCTGAGTTGTGACCCTGAATAATATTATATCATGTATGTTATGCAAGAATTTAAGCAACCCAAAAAAATAGACTTTGTCATTGCAAAAGAACTCGTCTCGTTAATTCAGTTCAACAAATATACGCGAATAAAAATTAATTTTCCACTGTATCTAGAATACACTAATTATATTTTAATAAAACAGTTGATGAAGTGATGAAATATGAATTTTCTTTATTTCTTACATAACTGAACTTATACCACATTATTTCAAAAATATGCATTGTTCTTGTATGTGTTATAAGCATTTTCAATTATTTACCTCTACACAATGAAGATATCTTCTGTAAGATTGGATTGTGTTATTTATTATTGGACTTTATTTTGTTTAACTAGGCTTGGGAACTTAATATTATCAATCTCCAGTAGCTACTAATTATATTTATACTATTCTTCGAGCAGAACCTCTTTAAATTCATCACAGTGCCAAAATAAACCAAAAGGAGCTTGATTACCATCATCGTCGTCTTACGCACCTGCAATAACTAATAATATGTGACTAACTAATTAACATAAATGTAAATATTTCTTGACAGCAACAAGTTACCTGATGGGAAGATTATCTCGCAATTTTTCAAAGCAGAGCCGTACGGTACGACCTTTAAAGCATCCTACGGCTTTCACTTGTTTCGTTATTACCGCTGCAAGGTACTCTCGGGAATAATCGTCTACTGGCTTGCGTTACATGGCGCATCATCATACCAATATCTCACTACATACTTGATGGCCTACTACGGTACCATAAGAATACTTCCTTGTCAGAGAACAAGGAACTATTAAAGAAAAAAAGAACTACTCAATATAGGTCGAGCTTAGAGATACTAAAGATAATGAAATATCTGTGTTGCTTTACTAAATGCATCAAATATTTCAAATGTATACTGGCATTTGGAATTTTTAATTTTTTCCATTTCCCCAGGACTGTATTAATTTCTTTGAGCTTACATTATTTTCCTTTGATGGAGTACCTAGTGATTAGTTTATCCAGTGGGGTAAAATTTGAATGCAATTATTCTGTACATTATTCCACATAGCATGACGCCCATCATAATACTCCTCCAATTTTATGTTCCTTCATCAGTACTGTATTCTTTTTTTGTGTCAGACGATCTTTTATTTCTAGAAATTTATTTTCCACAAAGCACATGAAACAACAACTGAACTCTTTGAAGATTCAACTACACTCCGCAAAACCAAATTTATCTTTCCAAGTAGGCAACCCACACTTTTCGTATCATTCTAAGAACGGCATTTATCAGATTAATGAAAAAGTAACGAAAAAAAGTATCACAGCTCGGTGCTCGGTCTCCGAAGCTTTTACAAGAAACTTCGGTTCTATTGATCTTAAACAGTTTCCTTTGCTTTGCACTGGCCTGCAAAATATAGAAGGCCCTAGTCTACTACTTCATTAAGCAAGAGTCAAATGGAATCCGCACAATATACCTATACAACACCTTCCCATACTATTTTTTTTATGCTGTGCGCAGTACTTATTTTTCAAAGCTAATATCTTATTAGGGTAACCAGGGCTGGGACTCTAACGAATAAAGATATTTTCTCTATCTATATCGACGTCCCCTCTCTATTGATTTTGAAAAGAAAGAAGTCATAGTGATAGGGATAACGATCTCTATCCCTTACAGAGTTCCAGCCCAGGAACCTACAAGGAATTTTCAACTTAATTTTTTAAACGTTTATTGGGGTAAATTCTTGATTAAAAATTAGACCCTACATAATATCAAACTCTCTTCAATTCATCAAAATAGTAGCCGAACTGATATTTTCAGAGATAGTCTTTTAGTTTCTGTTTGTCAAGTACTGATAAGTAAGGCACTTTAATATACTTAGTACCTACCTACTTTATCAAGTTCTGTTCATGGTTATATAGTGTCTTCTTTATTATCTGCTTAGAGGATAACGAAATGCAATAAATAACAAATATTTCGTTTTTCCAGGTTTTGAATCCAAAGCTCACAAATACGGCGAAGATGAAGAAACCTTTGCACTCCAGCGTGCCGAAACAGGAGACGCTAGAATCAACAGGGAACCTCAAACTAAAGTCGTCAACCAACAACGAGACTACCAAAGGACACAGCCAAAATACAATAATTTCAATAATAACAACAACAATCAAGAAAAGGACATTTTCAAAGCCTCCAGTTCTTCAAACTTTTTCAATAACAGAAATAATGGAAAAGAAAATGATGAAGATTATGATGATAACATAAATGTAAATCAAAATCGAGACTACGAACAGAAACGTAAAGTTGTAAGGAAACAACAGAGAAGACCTGTGCAACAACCAAGTCAACAGCAAAATCAACAACAACAAACCCCTGAGCCAGCACAAGCTCAAACAAGAAGGCCTCAAAGACCCACAGGATTTGTTAACAATTTTGCTGGAAGTAGTTATGCAACTTCCACTCAAAGGGCTGTTTCAAGTACTGCCAACAATGAACAATTTACTACTGCTGCTGTTAATAATTTTAGAAGGGGACAAAGACAAAGGAACAATTCCCCATCAAGTAGTCCAAGTACCAATCCACCCACTCCAACATACAGCATTAGTACCCCAGCACCTTTCAGACAGAGTCCTGTTAATAATGGTCAGTACTATACAAGTAGTTCCACTGAAAATTATCCTCAGTCAAGGGCCACTAACTCACCTGTGAACTATAATACAAATAATTATGATGTACCAAAAATCACTAAACTTCAAACAGAAAATTACCCATCCAATAATCCTCAATATAGTAATAAACAAACGACTCCATTCGTCAACTCGCCAGCCTTTGAGAAAAAACCCACCAATTTCAAAAAAATCGACAACTTTAAACCAACAACTTTCTCACCAAATGCCAAGCCATTTAGCTTTCCTATCAGCCAAAATACTCCACAAACCACTCAAAATTTCCCCACAACTTTTGCGCCAAGAACTCAGCAAGCCTATACTCAAATAGCTCAGCAAACTCAGAAGAGTCAGAATCCTACCACATTTAATAGTCCCAGTAGTACATTTAACAATCAACAAAAAACAACTTTTGCGCAACAGCAGTTCAGCACTACTCTCAGACCTACTAGCTTCACTCAGTACACTCCAACTGTCCCAAAAATATCCTCTACAACCCCAGTTAACACTCGATCAAATAGATTCGATGAAACCCAATATGATGATGGTTCTTATAATGCTAAATATGAGTATAATAACAATAATAATGGAGGGGAAGATGAATTTCTAAAAACTGCTCATAGTCAGAACATTGCTAGCAGCAGAAACGAATTAGCTAGAGCCCAGAAGCAACAACAGCAACAATCAACCACCCAAAAGCCTTCAACGGCTTACAGTCCAATACAAAATTATCCATCTTCAACTTCAACAAGAAATTCTCAAGTCACCCAAAGGCCAGTAGCTGAGACCAAACCTTCCGCTGCTTCAACTAAAAAAGTTAAAAGCGTGAGCTACGATTATGCTTACTACGATAGTATAGGATCAGAACCCGATTATCAAATTGATACTGAAGTTAAAAAGACATCAGCAAAGAATTAAGCTTAAGTTTTAGATTAAATTATTTATAGTTAGTTATTCGCTAAGTCTGTTTATATTAAGAAACATTTTTGATACCAACAGTATTTGATGAACTTAAGGTCCAGCATATAATAAATTTGTCAAATTAAGAATGTACATAATGATTTTTTTTTATTTTAATAAAATACTGTTATTAAAATTTTGTTTAAATCTTAGTGTCTTCATTTGCATAGTATATCTACCTAGATTTGGTAAGATACGAACTTAAACTCACTCTCTGGAAACTTCTTCCCTTTCATCTCTATTGTAGAATCATTATTGGACGTAAGTATATTGGTACTTACAAGCATTTCTGCAGTTTTTTCATGGCTTTATCATTCATTAGAATATTCATCATCTGTTGGCTGGCCATAGTCTCGGAGGTAATGGGCAGTATTTTGTTAACCTTAACAAATCCTTCAGATGCTTTAGCTACTATACCACACTATCATTCGCGTACCCTATGTCAAAGTTTAGTAGATGATATCGGGCCTTCAAAGAAAAGAAAAACAATCAAAGATTGCTCTGGTTACGAAAACGTACGTCGCATTATTGTTTCTTTATTGGTCAGGATTTTTGACATGACATTAAAGTTCATTGAAAAAATTAAGACATACGTTTGAAAAACCATTGCAATCTTTGATTGTTTTTTTTTTTTGAAGACCCGATACTAAGCCGGTTCTAGAACTGAAGTGACGTCACATTCGTTCTGGGGCCCGCGCCTGTCATCAGAGAAGCCCCAAATTGAAGGAGCCTAACCCAGGTGGGCCTGTGCCCCATTTCGGGGGCCCCATTTTTTCGTGGGCCCCATTTTTCGGCTTTGCCAATTTGAAGAGGCCTAACCCAAGTAGCAAGCCCCAATTTGAAGAGGCCTTAGCCAAGTGCAAAGGGGCCACATGCTTGTTCCCGCTGCTGGGCACGTGGCCCCATTTTTCGGGGCCCCGTTTACATGAACTCATAACCTAAAATTTGAAGATGACAGATGCGATGTTGCCAAAAATGATAATGTGCGACGTTGCCAATGGACGTGGGCCCCATTTTCGGAGAGCCCCGTTCCAGTGACGTCAGCAAAGGGCCTCATGCTTCTCCTCGGTGCTAGTCCCGTCGCTCCATTTCTCGGGCCCCACATTTACATGAACTCATAACCTAAAATGTGATACCCCATTCAAGATGACAGGTACGTGCGACGTTGCCAAAACTAATAATGTGCGGCGTTGCCAATAAAATGTCCCTAAATCTAGGCGGAAAATCGGAAAGGGGCCCCTTGTCTCCGCTGCTAGACCCGCGGCTCCATTATTCGTACATGGAACCAATACAGGACCCAAATTTTGAGGCGCACGTAGCCTAGAACTCATAACCTGAAATTTGATACCCCGTATCTCGTGCTGGTAACCTGAAATTTGTACCACGTAGGTACCTAGAATTCGTAACCTGAAATTTGGTACCCCATAACTCGTGACTTGTAACAAGATACATCGTACTGGGCCCCCATTGTTTCTAAACTAAAAACTGGCCACGATCAGACAATAATTGAATAATTCATTCTCGTGACCTACCAATTTCAATGCGAAATCATCTTTCGGAATTCGAAATTTAGTTTCACGCCGCCGGGCCCAAACTATAGAAATACGGGGCCCCAATTTCGGCCCCAAATATTATTTTCAAATAATAATAATTTCTGCCGCCGATAACAAGTTTTGCGGACTTGCCTAATTTATTCGAATTCCTCTTATCTCAATAACGGAAACCACATTTCCTGTCGATAATACTTGTTGTTATTCATTCAATAAAAGTTTAGTTAGTTAAATTCCAGCGTCCTTAAGTGACACAACGTTTTTTCAGTGCTTCAGTTGGAATTTTTCTACGAGAATTACATTCAAAGTTGGGCGTTGGCTCATTTATAGTTAATTGTGTTTAGTGCTAATAAACTATGCAAGTAATTTTTTCATTATTCTTAAAGACCCTGATAATAATATGTTGTTCTATTTTTTTAAAGACAATCATGAATCTAGATCAAATAAACCAGGCGGCCTGTATTGAAGAAAAGCCCTATTTAAAATTGAAGGACCTAGTCCCAAATCATCTGTATCCCATTATAAGTATGGCAATTGTTAACTCTAAATTTGGAGAGGAAGCAAAAGTATTGTAAAAATGTATCACATTTCTACCGCAACGTTCAACCGAACCGATTTAACAAAATCTTGATCATTTCGAGGCTGGGAAATTTGCACTCATTTTCAAGTCTATGGAAGAGATTCAGGGACTGAATCCAACGGCAATTTTTGGAATTGTTGAAGTTTACTATAGTATAAACTATTCGATTGAAACTAATTATTTTAATTTTAGATTTGATGAAAACGAGAAAACAGCCACAACAAAACGTCGCAACAAGACCACCAACAAATAAGGATTCAGAGTAGAATCTATTTTTTGTACAATTATTTGGAGAATAAATGCGTAATACGGAATGCATAAATAAATCTTTTGAAGTAAAATTTTTTGTTTCCAAATCAATTATCCATAGTCGATCTTTGTTAATGATATATACCTTGTGATGCAAAGGTATGAAAGTTTGTTGCTTGGCTGTTGGCTGACGGCTCGTGATTTTATCAAAAATGTCATGAGCGACATTGCCGAAAAGCAACAAAACTTGAATAAAACCTTGAGAGCAATTTTGCCTACACAATTTTTTCTCGAGTGGTATTCGTCATGACTATTTCACGTAAGAATTTGAAAATAAATAGAATGCAAAAATATTAATAAAAACTTCAAATTAAAATATCAGTTTGACAATGTCAAAAAATGGTCGCTGAAATACCATGTTGTTGGTATAGTCCAGGTAGCTATATTGTCAGCTGAATACCGAATTTATTGCCGGTGTAATACACTCTAGTAAAATAGTCCCATAAAGATGTTGAATTGCTGTTACATCATCATTACTTAAGGCGGAAATTTCGCTATCATATGCATACATTAAGGAATTTGTTTCATCTGAATGACTTAAGCCTAATGTATGTCCAATTTCATGAGCTAATACCCACAGCAAATTCGTTTTACCATCAACAGGTATTTTTCCATCCACCCCAAAGTACCAATCTTCCCTTCTATCTAAATGAATCTCAATACAATCATTATCGTTGCCAGTAGGACGATAAGCATGAGCCAGTACCAGTCCTTTCCCATCAAAATCGTTTTTACATCTGCTGTTGTAGGACAATTTCAGCATTCCTACATGATATCATAATGCCTGGTTTTAAAGACCAGCTACTGATAAATTTCAAATTGGTTACATCAGAACAAAGTTTGAAGGCCTTGTGCACTATAAATTTCTTTTGAAGCATAACTAAAGGGAACATGATTAATCTGCCATTTTAAAATTCTTCCCATCCATCTACCACCGTTTAATGTGAATGATTCAGGATAATCTTGCACACCGTAGCGAGGCGTAGACATCAACTTTAATGTTCCATCATTGGCCAGACCATCAATATCATTCAGATGGTAAAATTCTTGGAAAGGGTTCATAGCTTCCGATATATCAGTTACCGCACTAACACCTGTACCGTTATTGGTTGCTGTCTCATTTTTCAGATAACCATAAGCAATTAGAAAATGACGAGGATCAACACTCAGATTAATTCTCTACAACTGACAAAATAATAAAAATGTGAGACATTTCATGCTTGCACTACAGTTCAATGCATACTAACATTCATCTTCAATTTGAAGATAACACCCACACCAAGAGATAAGGAGTTGCAGTCAAATTCTAGGAAAACCTCCAAAAAATTTGGGGTTGACCCGGGCCCAACCACCGAAATTTCAGATCAAAAGCGCCGCCGATCTAGAGATTTGCCCACGGTATCGAAAAAATTCCCAGTTTCAAGTCATATGGCAAATGAAAACAAAGCAAATAAATAAAAACCATTAATTTTTGATGAATGTTCCGGCCCATCAATTACATCATAGCCATCAATAGCGTTAAGCTAGAACTCGTAACCTGAAATTTGGTACCCCATAACTCGTGACTTGTAACAAAATACATCGTACTGGGCCCCCATTTTTCGCGGGCCCCTATTATTTCTAAACTAAAATCTGGCCAAGATCAGACAATTATTCATGTCTCGTTACCTACCAATTTCAATGCGAAATCATCTTTCGGAATTCGAAATTTAGTTTCACGCCGCCGGGCCCAAACTATAGAAATACGGGGCCCCAATTTCGGCCCCAAATATTATTTTCAAATAATAATAATTTCTGCCGCCGATAACAAGTTTTGCGGACTTGCCTAATTTATTCGAATTCCTCTTATCTCAATAACGGAAACCACATTTCCTGTCGATAATACTTGTTGTTATTCATTCAATAAAAGTTTAGTTAGTTAAATTCCAGCGTCCTTAAATGACACAACGTTTTTTCAGTGCTCCAGTTGGAATTTTTCAACGAGGATTTCATTCAAACTTGGGCGTTGGCTCATTTATAGTTAATTGTGTCTAGTGCTAAAAAACTATGCCAATAATTTTTTTATTATTCTTAAAGACCCTGATAATTATACGTTGTTCTATTTTTTTAGAGACAATCATGAATTTAGATTTAAAAAAATTAAAATTGAAGGACCTAGTCCAAAATCATCTGTATCTCATTATAAGTATGGCAATTGTTTAACTCTAAATTTGGAGAGTTAGCAAAAGTGGACTTGGAAAAATGTATCACATTTCTACCGCAACGTTCAACCGAACCGATTAAACAAAATCTTGACCATTTCGAGGCTGGGAAACTTGCACTCGTTTTCAAGTCTATGAAAAAGATCGTTGAATTGTAAGTTTACTATAATATAAACTATTCAATTGAAACTAATTATTTTAATTTTAGATTTGATGAAAATGAGAAAACAGCAACAACAAAACGTCGCAACAAGACCACCAACAAATAAGGATTCAGAGTGGAATGTATTTTTTGTACAATTATTTGAAAAATAAATGCGTAATACGAAATGAATAGATAAGTCCTTTAAAGTAAGATTTTTTGTTTCCAAATCAATTATCCATACTCGATCTTTGTTAATGATATATAGCTTGTGATGCAATATCAAAAATTGTAAGTCCTTAGGATCTAGGTACCTTACAAATATCCTGAGAATTTTCAGGCTGTACTTTATCAGGTTTGTGTGCAGATGGAGTGGGCGTATTACTTTTAGGGGAAATATGTGTACTCGTTTTAGGAGAAGTGGTCGCACTCGTTTTAGGGGAAGTAGTAGTAGTAGTACTAGAAGTAGTTGGACTATTCGGATATTTTCTCCCATAAAGATGTTGAATTTTCTTCTTTGGTTGAACCCACATTAAGAGCAGGTAATTCATGTAATTCCCACTTTCTAAAAGGAATTAGAATGGGTCGATCGGTCTTGACCGATTGTAAAAGTTGTATTTTTAGGCCATCATTCGGAATAATGTATTTCACTTTTAAATCAATGTTTTCTATAACAAGTTCTGCTTTAGTATCAGCTCCAGTAATTAGCATACAATTGGCATCATTGCGAGCTCCCACCAAACGTAAAGTATGCTTTCCAGATATAGCCATTTTGTAGTCTGTGAAAATTCCTAATAAATGATAAAGAGGAATCCTCATGAAGAAAGCACCATCTGTATAAGTTGCTGGAACGTCGGGATAATTCCAACCGGCAACATTTAAATGACTACTATCTTCTTCAGTATAGCATAAATAGCCTCGAATTAGACTCGTAATACCAGGATCTTTCACATGTTCCATTTCAATGCCATTCAACAGATACGTGATTGAATCGAAGAAAAATGCGTTTCACAGATGTTATTAGACTAACGGACTAATGACGCAAAAAATAAAATAAAGAATAATTGAAGAACTGGATTGACGGAAGTCGGAAATGGGTCTAAAGATGAATTATAGTAAAACAGCTTTTATGTGTGGTATCTACCTCCCTTATGGTGGCAGCCAACGTGCTAAGATGGCAGTGTCCTGTGAAATCATCAGAAAAAAAATTTAGAGTCAGAGTAGCACGAACAACTCTAAACCATTATAAAATAGTAAGTAGGTAGGCACGGAGTATTATCAGATTATAAAACCAAACAAATATTGTGTAATCTGACCGTGACCAGAAGTCAGAACAATACAAAATCATCGCATGAGTTATTACCAGTTGGTTTGGTTCGTAGCTTCGATCAAACACTTGTATTTTTCCGAATAAAATTTTTCTTTAGTTTTATATTCCACCTACCATAGTTGGTTGGTTGGTTTAAGGCGGGGTAAGGCGTGCTCATGTTCCGATTTGCACAGCAGCCTTGAGGCTTATTGTGCTACCCCCTGCTTGAGCAAGTTCCATTCCTTTGATGAGATCTGGCAGCTTGCTGGCAAGTTTCTCATGCAGGAGTCTCTCGCTGCGTTGTATTCCTCCAAATGAATTGTGCCTTGTGCGAGCCAGTGCTTCAAAGTCATATATTATGTGTAAGGCGGTTTCCTCCTCTTCACCACACAGTCTGTCGTTGAGCCATTGTAGACTCTCATTATCTGCATGTGCGCTTTAACTCGTTGGCTGCCATGTGTATCACCCGTGAAAACCGCAATATAAAACTCCAAATTTGTGTCCACATATTGCGACAAATGTAATAAAGCCTTTTGCTTACCGTGTTTCACGCCACCAAACGCGGGTTCTGGTCTTTCTTGTATCTCGGACCAGTTCATCAGTCTTTTCGTTAACTTCTATCCTCGGATGCCCAGGAACCTACAGGAGCCTTATCCTGTTATCACTATTATGTCGTGTAGGCATTCCATCGGTATTTTCGCAGTTAATCGATGTGAGTTCGGAGCTTTTAGAGCAGCCTGTCCGTTGAAAGAATGCTTATGTTCTGGTTGTTATAATCCAGCCTTAGAATCTCCTGTAAGCATGCTTGAATTGCACGAGAGGCTTGGTAAACTGTTGCGGTAAACCCCAGAGGGGTACTTTGTTCTGATCTTGCCCTTTCTCTCAAAGTTTTCATCCTTCATGAAGATGTTAAGGATGGTTCGTTTTTAAACCAATTGATAGAGCATCTAGTTGTGCTTATCGTTAGGATTTTTGCTCCCGAATCCCGTAATAAAGCACTATCCACTAGAATTTTATTAGTACCTACCTACTGGCCTGTCCAACAAACTTACCATAGCCTGGATACCAGGCCACGAGGGCCACCCAGGAAATGAAAAGGCTGATGACTTAGCCAAAGGAGGCTCGGCCACTGAGATGATAGGCCCAGAACCCTTCTGCGGAATTTCTGTAGGCAGTTTTAAAGCATCTATTAAGAACTAGATAGACAGAAAGTTCCAGAGCTGGTGGCAGCGAACACCAGGACAACGACAGGCAAAGCAGTTTATCAAATCCTGCTCGCCCTAGTTCACAGCGGATCTACTAAGCCACAGCCGTAAGATTGTTAGGATAACGATAGGCCAATTAACAGGGCATTGTAAACTCAACAAGCACCTGGAAAGAATGAGCTTGGCAGAGGATAGCCTGTGCAGGTTCTGCCAGGAGGCGGAAGAAACTGCCGTACATGTATGGTGCCATTGCGAAGCGTTGCATTGCAGGCTTAGGTTTGCGAGGCTTGGAGAGGAAAAGCCCAATCCGGCAAGGTACATGGGGTGGCCAGTATCATGGCTCTGGAGTCTAATAAAAAGGACGAGTCTAGAGAACGCACTCTAAGGACAGATAGGAGTTACCACAATAAATCTGATGTTGCGGTGGTAGAGGACGCCCCTGCGCCATCTCCATTCAAATAAATCTACAAATCTCTACCTACTATCTAGCAGCTTTCTTGTTAAAATTCTCAAATTTTCTTTTAAATTTTCATGTAAACTGAAATGTCTGGAATCTAATATCGGGTAAGGGATACATTAAAATATTTTTTCTAAAATCCAATTATCATTTCTAAAAAAAAAATCGTCTTCGTTTGGTTTCGAGTAGTTTATCAAAAACAAGGTCCAAGCACCATGATTTTTTTAACAAAATTATCTTTATTAAATATATTAATCTATGAGTAGGTATTTATTAACAATTTTACAATAATAGTTTAAGCCTAAAATAAAAAAAATCATTCGTGAAAAAAAATAATATAAAACATACAAAAAGAGGTCTATAATACAAAATACACACGGGAGGAAAAGTCACTCTAACTGCTAAAAGCAAGAGAAAACGATCCTTGCATAAATAATATATTTCTTAGCTACTAAAATTACGTACATATAGGTACACGTAAAAAAAAGTAAAAAATACATAATTAGGTAGGTCAAATGTATTAAAAAAATTAGGAATAAAACTACACATATTCAAAATGTGGCAAAGTTACAAAAATAGTACCTATTGATATATATTTTGTTTGAGGCGGCGTTATCGTCGTCTCGGAAAGAAGATCTGTGAATCTTGTTCTCCAAATGATAACCTTCGTAAAATCGGAACGTTAAAAATCCTCACATCAGAATTGGCTTAAATTTGGCAAAAATATTCTTTGATCGATTATCTAGGACCTACACGTTTTAGGATCAACGACGATAACACCGCGTTGAGTACATTACCAATAAGCAATTTAAAAAAAATATAATAATAGGTACAGAATGCTTCTTTGGATTTCATCCACCATTTAATGAAAATTTGAATGGAAAGCAAAATTCATCAAGACATTCTGTACACTCTTTGCTTTAAGTATTGTATTGAGCAACAACATGGCAAATAACTCTAGAGTACCTAAAGCAATTAGAGGCAGTTTCCAGGAAAAAAAATAAATTCGCTATTCACAAACATCTGTCTGGTTTGATGCTTGTGCAAATCAATTTATCTTCATCAAAGAAAGTCCTTTGGTCGCACACATATTTTAGATCGAGTAACTGATTTTTACTGTAGCCTTGTGTACAGTAATGGAACAGTCTACAATCTCTAGGATCGGCGTAGAATTTGTTGATTTCTTTACCGAAGCAATTGAATACGTAGTGGCGGTTTGGTTTAGCAGAGTTTTTCGAGGTAAGAGGCACAGTTGGTAGAAGATTTTTCTTATTTTCCGAACGAGTTGGTGAAGCACTTCTATGTAAAGGAGCTTCAGTGGCCGTTTTGAATGGTTTCTGAGTGAATAGCTCGGTACTGAACCTATGTCTACCAAACTGATTTCTTTGATTATTATAAGGACGTCTCTTAGGAGGCCTGGTTCTTCTGGTATAAGGTAAACTTGTGGTAGTTGAAAAAGTGGTAACCGGCTCACTTATGGTAGTAGTTTCTATAACAACTTGCAATAAATGACTAGAATTCACCATACCTGGAGTTTCGGTGCCGGTACTCAAGAATATGATTTCCGTAGCATTATGTTGAACTTCGGGCATAGTAGTGTCTTGAAGTTTCTCTAAATGCTGTTCTACAATTGGTGTGGTAGATTTTTCCGTGGTAACTATAGTTGCGGGAATTGTTTCAGTTGTGGATTCATGAGTAAGAGTAGTGGGATTATCGAGAATAGTTGTAGTTTTTTCTTCTTCCGTGGCTGGAACCAAACTGTTAATATCTTGGGCCGTATTTACATCATAAGGAGCATCGAAATTAGTTTCTAAAACTTGTATTGGCAAAGATATTGATTTTTGAATTTCTACATCGGATAACGGGGTTGTTGGCGTCTCTGTTAGATTTTCTTCTACGGTGATTGTAGATATTGGAGTTGGTGTTGTAATATCAGTTTGTGCTACTTGTGTAGTAGTCTTAATTGCTGTGAATTCAATAGCAGTTTCTCCTAATGAAGAAGTTGCCTCGTTTATTTGAAATTTCAAATTTTTTTCTGTTAGTTCTGGCACTATGAAAAGATCATGATATACACTTCTTGGTGTGCTACTATACTCAAACCTTCCAGTAAATTCTTTTGAAGAAGTACTATATTCTACTAGTCTAGTTGATTCAGTGAGACTTGAAACAGTTGTACCGAAGCTTTCACGTTCTTCAAAACTAATCATTGGGGTTGTTGCAGTAGTATCTGCAATTGGAGGATTAGTAACTACCAAATGTTGTTCTAATAAAGATAGCTTCTTTAACAAATCGTCTCTCTTATGTGCATCCTTAGATTCTTCAATCCCAATTGAATTATCGTTATCTGGCTTGGTACTTTCATAAATATCTCTTAATGTTGGCAACGCTGTGGAGCTACTGACTTTAGTGGAATGTCTATATTTACTTCTATCATTGTTTTGTCTAGTAGATGGAGGTAGTGTACTGGAAGAAATTTTTTCTGTTAGCGGTTCATAGGAAACTTCTGGAAGCTGGGTTGTCGTAGTTTCTAATATCGTGGTTGAATCAACTTCAGCACCTTCTATTTCTAAATATTGCGTGGTAGTTTCTATACCTGGCGTTAAATCAGCATCAGCATAATATTTGAGTAATTTTACTAGGTAAGATGAATCATCTTTTGGCAACTTGGTTTCAATAGTTTTTGTATCTACAGCTGAAGTTTCAGTGGAATTCTTAATAGGATTTGTCTTAACGACAATTTCTTTGTCTGGGATATTTTTATTTTCCTGCACAAACTTGCCATTTTGATCAGTAATTTCTGAAGTAGTACTATTTTCTAAATTATTATTTGCTTCTTCATCAGTAGTTATTGCTTCATTGGAAGGCGTAACGAAAGTAGTTGTTTCAAAGTCACCTAAAGTCGTTTCAGAAGGACTGGTAGTAGTCTCTTCTAATACGATTTTTTCTGTTGTTGTAGTACTAGATGTAGTGGAAGAGAGAGGATTGCTAAACCTCGATCTCCCTCTGTGCCTACCCCTAGATCTAGTTTGATCTAAAGAGTTTTGAGATTTTTGATTAACATGTACGGCATAACTTGCGCCTTGGTCACTATCCGTAATTCTTTGCCTACCCCGTCTGCGTAAAGTATGTTTTATTGGTGCTGCTGTAGAAGTTGTTATGGTAGTAGACGAAGATATACTCCTAAAGGAACCATTATCTTCATTTACTTCTGATAAAATATTGATTTCAGTATATCTATTTAAATTAACTTCACTTGTATTATTTTGCTCAACATCTTCGTTATTACTTTCCGGACTATGTTTAGTTGCTTCTAATTCTTTTTCTTTAATTGTGGGTGTCGCAGATGCTAATTGACTATTCACTTGAACATATTTATAAAGTTCCAACACAGCGCTAGGATCAACGAAATGTTCAGTTTCTTTTTGAGTTTTTGAACCATCTTTTTCATAACCTTTACTTATATAATTGGCATTTTCAATATTTTTGTTAGATTCCTTATACACTACCCCTTCATAGTTATCATCGACATAGTCAAAAGGGTTAATGTAAGATTCTTTGGCATCTTTGATGAATGTTTTCTCAACATTATCCATTTTTTCTGTTATTTCCGTTTTGTTCAAGCTTTGACTCAACTCTGCTTCTCCGTCAAATTCTTTACTTCTTATATCTTCTGAAAAATGTTTAATTTTGTCATCATTCTGTTTAAGAAAATAAGATATATCAGTTTCTTTTGATAACTCTCCACCATCTTGTTCTAAAACTTCTTTAAAAGCAGAATTACTTTTCTTCCTTTCTCTCCTTCCCACAGGGTTATCATTCCTATATCCTCCAACTATACTAAATCTACTACTCTTTTTGAAAAGCTCACTTTCCTCATAATTATCAGGCTTCACTGACTCAGTACTTGTTGGCTCTCTGCTGTAGTACTCATTACTATCGGGAGCTAGTTCATCATTAATTTTTTTAATTAGTTCCGGTGATACTGGGCTAGTCACTGGTGGTACTGTGGCAGTAGCTTGATGACTTTGATACCACGTGAAAAGGAACTTCAATACTTCGACAGCTTCTTTTTCGTTTTTGATTATATCAAAAGGATCCACTTTCTTCTGCTCTATACTTCGTTTTTTTCTTTGCTTTATTTTAGGAACATCATGATAAAATGGATCCAAGCCTACATCCGCATCTTTGTATTCATCATAAGATGATGGGGGAGTTTCTAGAATGTGGGCAGCTCCAATAGTACCAAGCGAATAGTTTAGTCTTCTGCCACTAGCATCACTAACACTAGCGCTAGCGCTAATTATGATCCTGGGTGGGTTTGAATGATCTTTTGTATACCTTTTAGTTTCTATATGACGTTGTAGCGTGAATGGTGCCGGAGAGCTAAACGTTAGTGGAGGCAGCGTTGGTAACAATGGAATAGGTATTTGGACTCTTTGAGGGCTTTTTTCAGTTCTATGTTGAGTAAATTGGTGATGCTGGTGAATCTCAGGAGGTTTTAGTGAGTGTAAATAAAGTGTCCTCACAGTTGTGTGGATGGGCTCTGGATGCTTAATTGTAGTAGAATGGAATTGGGGATGGTGATATTGATGATTGTTAGTATTTTGGCTAGGAGGAAAGCTTTGGCTGTGTCGAAAACTGTTAGTTTGTATCAAAAATTGCTGCTGACGAGGCACTTCTGTACCACTATGAAAATCTACTTCAGAAAAGTCATAATTTTCTTCACCACTATTTTCATTCAACTTATCACGAGGATCAATATAAATCGGTTTAGGTGATGTAGATAAACGAAGTCGTTCGGGTTTTTGCACTCTAACACTTTGTTCTTCACTATTATCTCTGTGATCCGACAATAAATGTTTACTACTATCACTATAACTTTGATGGGGCTGGAAATGTTTCGTCCTTATATCCGGCGGAGCACCAGGATTTAAACTAATATTAATTTCTTCCGGATTAAAACGGATATCCGGCGTGTTCACCGGGAAATGATGACCGATTGATTGGAGATTTTTCACAGAAGTGGTAGCGGTCGATGGTCTAATCGTGGTGTAGTATGGCGACTGCGTTGTCGGTCTCTTCGTCGTCGTCGTTGTGGTCGTTGTGGATGTTGTGGATTTTACTATTATCGATGGGGGTTCAGTCTCGTGAGGAACTTCTGGAGTTTCTGAAAATGATATCAGCTTAATTATTATAAAATAAGAAGAAATACTGCTACGGTAAAATTAATACATGGTTTTGTCGAAATCAGGTATTGTGATAAAAAATACAATAATGGCCACCGCAGAGAGCAATTTTCGATTTGTGATTATGATGTACTGTAAATTTATAGTTGAGTATTCTCAAAGTTCAAGATAAATTTGAAGCAAAACTCTTTTTAAATCCCTTTAAACTTTTGTTTGTGCTAGATGGAGAAAATGTACTTACAGTTAGTAGTTTCAAATGAGATGTGAAATGAAAGTTGTGCTACCGCTATTGTTAGCCTGAGCTAGAGCTAGAGCTAGAGCTAGGATTGCTTTTAATATATTTTTTTAAAATTTATTTGACTAGATAAGATGGACAACCCTTCCGTAAGTACCTACGCTTTATTTAAATACTTCTGGCTACTGGAGCTTAAAAGAAGTAGGGTACACAAAAAATACCTATTATGAAATACGTAACATGATGGATATGTACAACGGTTTAGATTCTGTGAAACACTACCTACTACTAACAAACAGGCGCCAGCCATTTCGTTATTACTTTTCAAAATATTCATAATAGATATTTCTGTCGGCATTTATTTTAACATAAAATCATTGATTGTTAGGTTAGCTGAATGTTGAACATTTCTCCAAATTTTTTTTACAGGGAAATCCTCCTAACTATTGGACATCTATCTAAGTGAAGGAATGGTTCTTGAATAAATATTTCGTACAACGTCCTTTGAAAACATTTACGAATAAATTATTAGGTACCTTTCAACAGCTAGATCGATGTGTATAATTCAAAAGTAATTGTGAAGTATTTAAATTATTTCGTAATAGGTAATTGCATTCTCGTACAAGGTGGCAATTTTCACACATTTAATTTGCTGTTATCTTTTTCACTTCTGGGTATATATGCATATAAAATAATAATTAAATGTATATAATTTACATACCTTCTAAAATTGGCCCTGAATTACCGTATAACTCTAAGTTTAGACTATAAAATTGTTCCGATTTCGAACAGTCTACTTCGTCAATCCTTTCACAGACTCGAGTTTCCTGAAATAAGAATAAGGTAATATTTCTGGAATCACGCATAGGTATATTTAAAACAAACCTGATCGAAAACGGTACCATTTAAACATAAAAATCGAATATCCATGGGTTCCTCGGCTTGACCAATGGTACAGACATGAAACATCTGGCAATTTGTCTCGAGATCCGCATAATATCCTCCAATTACTTTTCCTACGCACGTAAAGTTAGTGTCGGGCAAATTGTCGAAGTCCAAATACTAAAAAAAAAATATATAAGGTTACAATAACAATATTATTAGGTCCACACCCAATAACGTGAAAGTCCTGTAGTCATAAATAATAATTCCGTAACTCTTTTCCTTGCCACAGTTATTATTGTCGTAGGTAACAGATAATTATCAATGACCGATAATAATTAAACTCATGACGCCATTGTTTTTCTCTCGCCTCTGCAGACCGCGAATTGCGATTGAATTGGCATATGATCGAATAATATTGACCTTCCAATTGAGAATGTAGAGCTAGCCAAAGTTCGAACTAATTATTAGTTATTTGAACTTACGGTATGTGAAGGGAGTGGGACCAAGATGAAAATGGACACCTTTTAAATAGGTGTAATCAATATCAATTTATGATTTTTTATTATTATGGTATGACATAATTATTGAAAATTAATCAATGCAAGGAATACAGCAAAACCGTATTGGGATTTGTATAAATAAATCAAAAGCTAAATGGAAAAGAACAGACTTCATTAAGATTTACACTCCATTTTTTTCAGCTCTATAGCATCGATGGTGTAATTTTAAGATGATTGCATTACTTTGAAACATTTCTGCGCTCTACTTCCAATAACAATAGATCTATTTATTATTTTAATAATCATAATTTAATGTATTCTGTATATGCAGTAAATTGCGGTTTAATTGAGCGTCAATATTGTGGACTTCTAATCACGAAAATCGATTTGGCTGTAGTGCAATAATTGTATCAACTCAAACGTGCATAAAAACTTACACGCCGTGCATCATAAAATATTCGTGCAAGAATAGATATCTTTGCTATATTATGAACCTACATTGTTATTACGGTGTGTGTGTGTGTGTGGTGATTACAGAAAAAGGAAAGTTCATCTGCTTGTTTGTCAAAGACGCATATTTATATGTCCATGTCATTGGTCTAGATTAGATTAGTTGAATGGAGAAGCGTCCTCTGCCACTGCAACCTTATCAGATTTATTGTGATGCATGTGTGCGTTGTCCAGACCCGTCCTTTTGATAACACCCCAGAGCCGTGAAACTGGCCACTCTAAATAGCTTACCGGTTTGGGCTTCTCCCCACCAAGTTTTGTGAAGCTGAGCCTTTATAACGCTTCGCAATGGCACCACACATGTACGGCAGTTTTTTCCGCCTTCTGGCAGAACCTGCATAACCAGGCGCATTATTTCCAGGTGCTCATTGAGTATGCAATGGCCTGTTAATTCACCTACCACTTCCTTACAACCTTACGGCTGTGGCTTAGTAGGTCGGATGTGAACTTGGGTGAGCAGGATTTAATGAACTACTTTGCCTGTCGTTGTCCTGGTGCATGCAGCCACCATCTCTGGAAGTCTCTGTCTATTCAGTTCTCGATAGATGTCTTAAAGAGGCATGCTGAGATTCCGCAGACTGGTTCTGGGCCTATCATCTCGGTGGCGGAGCTTCCTTTAACTAAGTCGTCAGCCTCTTCATTGCCTGGGTGGCCCTCATGGCCTGTTACCCATGCTAGAATAAGTTTGTTGGACAATCCCACTTCCTCTAGAGCATATATGCAGTCCCTGACCAGTTTGGAGCTGATCTTCTGGGAGCTGATTGCCTTTAGGGCCGCTTGACTGTCCGAGTAAATGACTCTTCACTTCCTTTTTCTTCATCAGTGCACTGTGCATTATTGCAGCGAGTTCCGCCTGAAACATTGTGGCGTACTGTCCGAGGCTTATGGATGTCTTCACCTTAGGCCTTTCTCCGTAGATGCCAACTCCGATCCCCTTTTTGGTCTTGGAGCCATCGGTGTACCAGATTTGGTTTACCTACTTTAAATGCAGGGCGTTTATTCCAGTCTTTCCTATCCGATATGGCGACTGAAGTTGAAAAGAGGATTTGTTTTATCTGAAGGCATCTCGTACAAAGAGGCGACCTTTTGATCCTCCTCTATCTTTCAACTTATGGTCCTTTGGTGTTTTATAATCGGACCTTGGCCTTGTTTGACGCTTAACGTACTGCCTCTACTTCACCCTGTATGTAGATATGTAGCGGCGGCAGATTCAACAGCACCTCTAGGGTTGCAATTGATGCATACGCAACGCATGCTAGCCTTTCCATACTTTGAAGCTGTCTGAGTGTTACGGTCTGCGTGATCTTTGCTCCCCAAGCAACCGAACCGAAGGTTATCATTGGCCTTATTACCATTTTGTACAGCCATCTTTGAGCCCCCAGCTTTTTCCCGCAGAGCTTCCTGCATCTCCTAAGGGCAATTTTTTGTCTCCTGGTGTAGAACCCAAATCATTTTTTGGTCAAAGATGACTCCTAGATATTTGACCTCTTTCTACAAGGGGATTTCCACTTTGTTAAGCCTAGGGCATCTAACCCCTCTTAGTACTATTTTCTTTGTGAAGGGGACAATTACGGTTTTCTGCGGTCTAATCGACAGTCCTTCCTCCATGCACCAGTTGTCGACTATGTTCAGTGCGTTTTGCGTTCTTTCTAAAGCATATTCGACACGTCTGCCTCTGACTACTATGACTATGTCGTCCGCGTAACCAAGGCAGTGGAATCTCTCCTTGGCAATTTTTGCCAGAAGATCGTCGACTAGGACAGCGCAGTACAGTGGCGACAGAACGCCTCCCTGTGGGCACTGACTTTTGCTTCTACTGTGTCCTCGCCCAGAGTGAATATGACATGCATATAGTGTGCAGAATGTTTCTATGCGTAAGGGCGTTTATTAGTGATGTTGTTGGAACGTTGTTGAAGGCTCCCTCTATGTCCAAAAACACGCCTAGCGCCACTTCTTTGCCATCGATTGACTTTTTTCAGGAGTCTGTTTATATCATCCAATGTGGAGTCTGTGGACTTTCCTGGCTGGTAGGCATACTGGCGAACGCTCAGAGGATAGAGCGTCTAATATATCTGCCCACCATTTTTTCTAGCGTTTTGTGCAGAAACGAGGAGAGACTATAGGTCTATATGACTTGGGCGTTTGGTCTAGACTTCTGCCGATCCTTGGCAGGTAGACTACTGTCGCCTTTTGCAATACCTCTGATATGTAGCCTTAAGCGATGCATGCTCTGAAAATTTTGCATAGGTATGCCAAAAGTATATCCTGACCTTTCTAGAGCAGTGCTGAGTAGATTTCATCTGGGCCTGGCGATTTGAAGAGATGGAAGTCGCCTAAGGCCCATTTGCTTCTCTCATATGTTATTTCCTCCTTTGCCCTGTCCCAGTCTACCTTCATTGGTATTCGGGGCCTTTGGAACTGTTTCGTCGGCTTAGCCTGTTATTGGTTTTAGAGCCAGCCAAGTTTTTTCCCCTGATCGCGAAATGAATAAAATTTTCATTTTGGTCAGAGGTCGATTTTCTTCGATCGTCAGCTGGCTAAACTCGAGTAGTCGTGAAGCAGGGTGATTAAAAAGGGGTAGAACGTGCACACAAGGAAAAAAGTTATAAAAGAAAAAACTACACAATGTTCGTCATCATATCTTTACCCTCTACGTAACCTGCCGCGCTGTGAGTTGTTGCAGGCTTGAACGAATATTTTCTTCAATTTTTTTTCTAGTACCATATCAGAGTTCACAGTTCACACATCGACTATCATACCCATCGCCTTAAAATGAGGTCCTCTACTTGTAGGATCTCATATTGAATTAACTCATGCTTAGGATTCCTGATAATATGAACAAAATCCTCAGTTTTCTTCACTTTATTAATGTATTTATCATGCTAAGTTGGTACATCTTAGCCAAATGTAAGAGACCTAGGTCCCAAGACCCAAAAAAATTTTAAGCGTAGTTTAAGGTGGTGAATTGAGACGTAGGTATCTACTAAAAGAAAAAATCAAGAACGTGAACACGAAACCACAAACTTTCTTGAATACTAGAAATTCGTGAAAAACCCCTACTTAATGAGGAAGAGCAAATTGGAAAGAGAACACCTTAACGAATAAAAACATTTGGAATTTGAAATACTCCAAACCATGAGCCAGTGCAGAGTTGAGAGAAAGACGAAGTTGAAAGAATCGAGGAATATCTGCAAAAAGAAATTGGGAAAAAGACGAATATCAAATGGGAGTCATTCTCAATTATGAAACTGGAATAAAGGATCACAATAAAGCCAACGAGGTAATTGCAAGAGCTTGAGAATGCGTGGCAAGCAAAGCTGGAAAAGGAAAACAAGGAAAAATTGGAAGAATGTCATCAGTGAGTACAGCATAATGAAGTGCAAACTAGGAAAAAAAGAAGCTCCTAAGAAAAAACAATCTTTCTTAACAAATCTAAATAAGGACGCCTTTCGAAAATGATTTGCAAAACATTTAGAAGTTTCAGAAAGATTGTTAGAGGTAGCGAACGGAGAAGTACGAGAATTAAATGTCCAAAATGAAGCCTATAAAATGACGATGAATCATCATCCCTACGATGATGATGATTCACCTTAATTTGTTATTGAATCAGATAAGTCTTAAGTCTCCTGTTTGTAATGAAATATTGTGAGCCTTATGGATATTTGGTAGCCATAAGCCATACGGGTATCTGGCTTTTTTTATCTTAGTCTTTAGGATATTTTTGTATCGTATAAACTGCCCTCCCTGGCTGCATTCGCCATTTTTCAGTTGGGGATACACATTTTGCTCGGGAAGATATGAGCAGCTGTAACAAGCCAAAATTGTCTAACTAATTCTTAAAATTCCTTTAAATTTGTTAACATTTTCTCTCTATAAAATTTCAACAATAATTACAGCAGTTGCAGATCCTGTAAATTTTCTAATTTTCAATATTTAAATTCTATTTTCATTGATTTTAATCCATATTTTAAATTCCATTTCCAATCTGATTTTCATAATAATAAACAAGTAAATATTCATTTGTCAAAAATATTTCTTTTGGGGTTATGTTCCCAAATCATAATGATCCGTTTTCAAAGTGTATGAACTACTCTGTTCGGCTATTGAACTCAGTACAGTTTTAGTTGAACCCGGTTCAATCATTGGTTCCATAATCTTTGATATGTG